ATACAACGTGCACCGTCGAGATCGCGAGCGAGATAATGGTGGAGGTTTAGCGTTCATCCCGCACCATACCGTGCAGTATCGTCTCATTGAATCATTGGGATACCATCCTAGAATGTCAGGGTATTGCTATCCGGTCAGGCGATGTTGAGGTCGAAATATTTAACGTTTATGTTGAAACGCGAAGCTTGTTGACCGGAGCGACAAAGAAAAACGATGAGGATAAGGCATAATGAAAACTTTATGCTTTATTTAATTTAGTTTAATTTGTATTGAAAAATGTAATGGCGGTTTGTCTAATAAAAAGGTTATGACGTATGTATGGGTTCTATTCGCTAATAAATATGTACATATACATATGTGTTTGACATATGTACGATGTTGCCAGAGTGTGTCTGTTCTAACACTCCCCCTCACACTTGGAATACTGGATAAACAAACCAAGTCCTCGAATAGCTTCTTCATGTCGTGCTTGTGTCCGCGCTTTGGTAAATATGTCTGCTTCAAGCTCTGTACTGGGTTTATATGCCAGTTCAATTATTCCCTGTTCCACGACGTCTTTAATGAAGTGTTCTTTTATGCTTATATGCTTACTTCTTCTGTTTACGATGGGGTTCTTTGCGAGGTGTTGTGCTGCTTGGTTGTCGTTGAATATAGTGATTTTTTCGGAGCTCACTGCCATATCAGAGAGCAGTTGTCTTAGATTAATGGCTTCTTTTGATGTTTCTGTCAGCGCCATGTATTCGGCTTCAGCTGTAGAAAGTGCAATCGTCCGCTGCTTCTTTGATTCCCAAGTGACCACAGCTCCGCCATATTTGAAACAATATCCAGTATATGACCTGCGATCGACTTCACAGCTGGCCCAATCTGCATCCGAGAATCCTTGTACAGCCTCGTTTTGTTTTTTGTACGTTAGACATAGATTTTTAGTACCCTTTAAATAACGTAGTACTCTCTTGGCGGATTTGAAATGTTCGTCATCGTAGTTATTGTTGGTTGCGATCGCTAGGTACATTAATGACCCGATTAGGTTTTGGTATGGTAGTTTCGTTTTAATTGGTTTTTTTGCAACTTTAGCCCTTGTATCATAGGCGTTTTTTCTGTTTTGCAATCTTCCATATTAAATTTTTTAAGTAAATTTGCTATATAGTGTTTTTGGCTTACTAACATTGCATTGTTTTTGTATTCAAAGTTAACACCTAGGCAATATTTTAATGTACCTAGGTCTTTCATTTCAAACTTATTCATGAGAGTTTCTTTTATTCTTTCCATATGATTCTCATTTGAATAAGCTATTATTAAGTCGTCAACATATAATGCCAAAATGACTTTATCTCCCCCTTTCGCAAGTGTGTAAACGCAGAGGTCAGCATTTGACGACGTGAAATCAAGTTATTTTAATGTATTGCCGAGTTTGTTAAACCATTCTCTCCCGGATTGCTTTAATCCATATATTGCTTTTAGTAATTTGCATATTTTCTTTTTTCCAGGTTTTTGCAGGTTTTGTAACATAGTTCGAGCTTTAATATATACGGTTTTATCTTCGTTGATGCTTTCTTCAGCTATGATATCATGTAAATATTTTTCCAAATTTTTTAGTATTTCCATTTGTATGTCTTCTTTTAGTTCGCCGTTGAGGAATGCTGTTTTCACGTCTAACTGAATGATTTTTAAATCGTTCTCGACTGCCATGGCTAAAATGGATCTAATTGATTTTAATTTTGTTACCGGAGCGAATGTCTCGTTGTAATCTACGCCATATACTTGAGTAAATCCACGAGCAACTAATCTTGCCTTCTTTTTCTCTATTTGTCCGTCAGAACCGATTTTTTCTTTTAAACCCATTTTGCAAGATACGATGTTTTTACTTTCGTTGCCCTTTTCTATTATTTTCCACGTATCGTTTTGTAGATGAGCTTTAATTTCTTCTTTTATAGGTTGCTCCCACTCTATGGAGTTTTCGTTGTTGTTGTTGTTGTAGCGGCTACAACAACCCCGCCCAGGACGCTTCGTATCTCAGTCGTTGTCGTCAAGTTCCACTAACGGCAACCCTAGGAAGCGTGCAGCTTCTGTGGGGTTTGTCCACAGGGACAAGGCCGTTAGGGTTGTCGGGTTTTCCGGGCATGCGAAGAGATGCTTCGAGTCATGTGGGGTCTCTCCGCATGCCGGACACTCATTCGGCACATCCTCATTCAACCTACTCAGTTAGGAGTTCAACCTGCTGCAGTAGCCGGAGCGAAGTTGTGCAAGTGTTGTGCGTGTCTCCCGAGGCAGATGAAGCTCCGTCTCGTCTCGACGGGGTGGTATGCCTAGAACGGCATTCATTCCCAGGTCTAGAGTCTACATAACTCGAGACTGAGTTCCTGTGAATGCCGTTCAGGGCCTGTCGGTATGCTGTCGGGTCCAGAGGTTGCTTAATGACCCTCTGGACTTCGTCCGTCAGTTCATATAGATGCCTCCTGACGTGCCTAGGCGAGGGCTCCTCTGCAAGCAGCTGTCTGCTTGGGTGGCCACTTCTGTGGCTACCGATCAGGAACTGCTTGCAGAGCATTATATTGTGCTCCTTTACAGGGAGCATTTGCGCCTCGCCGTGCAGGTGGTGTTCAGGCGACATCAGGAGGCATCCTGTCGCTGTCCTGAGTGCGGTGTTCTGTACAGTCTGTAGCTTCGTCCACTGCGTCCTACTAGTCCCTGGCGACCACACTGGCGCTGCGTAGTTCAAAACCGG